CCTACCTCACAGGGTCCTGGTGGGAGTTCTACGGATTAACAAGAACACAGAGCACCGTCAGGCACACGGTGTATGTTCAATAAATGTCAAGGGCCTTTTCCACGGCAGCCGCAACTTCTGAAATATTGGAGATGGTGGGAAAGGTGCAGATTTACGTATCATATTATGGAGGGTGGTGGGATGTAGGCCGGACATGGTGGGAAAAGAGAGAAAATGAAAGGGTTCTTACCTGGGGCTTATCAGTGGCAGCGACTGCTTCCGGAGCAAAAGGCAACGTTGGCAAAGTCAGAACCCTGTCCCCTCGTTCAAGGTCAGAATGCTGGCCCCGCCCCGGCCCTCCTCCCGGCAGCATAGCTTCCTTGCTGCGTTGGAATCATTTGAGGAGCTTTCAAAACAAATCAAATGTCTGCGCTCAATCCCCAGAGGATTTAATGGGCCTGGGTGTGGCCTGGATACTGAGATTTTTTTAACGCTCCCGGGGCCACTGAGGCCTGAAGGCCTGCAAGGTGGATGATAAGGGGGCAGCCATGCTTCCTCCTGGTGGCCCCAACACCGCGGCTACAGTGGCCCCGTGTTTCACAGAAGCCCAGGGTACCTGCAGTGATTAGCAGATGCCTTTGAAAATTCCACTTCAGGCACCCTGCAGTCCCAGCACTTAGGGAGGCTGAGGTGGAAGGATCACTTGAGCCCAGGAGGTTGACATTGCAGTGAGCTATGATCATACCACTGCACTCCATCCTAGGCAACAGGGTGAGACCCTGTCTCTTAAAAAGAAAGAAACAAGCAAAATTCCACTTCCGAAAGGGAAGGGAAATAGTTCAGTCTCATTCCCTCCACCCAGAGCACATCTGGGGCGTGACAAGCTATGGTGTGGCCAGACCCCTTAGGAGGGGAAGGCCGTCTCACTCACAGCTCCGTGTCCCCCCAACCAAGGCTAAGTTTGGCTATGAGCTGTTCTTCTCCTTCTGGACACCTGTGAAGTCTCTGGTGGTCCAGCCAGGTGGTGGGTGGAGTTGGGCTGGCCCTGGGAACGGCTGCTGGTCCAAGCAGGGGGTCTCACTGGTTCAGGCTCCGTGCTGCCTGCCCCAGACCACCCGGCCAGGGTGTGCAGTGGCTTTACCCCCGACCTCAACTCCAATTTGGGGGGACGCTGCCTGTACACACCTGCATGTCAACAGGATAAAGGTAAGGGTGTTGGGGGGAGCACGGGGGTCCAGCACGACACTGGGGTGAAGTCCCAGTGGTTCATATTTACAGCTTTACAATTCAGGAAGGTTCCTAAGGTCTCCCGAATCATTCCATCAACACCCAAAGAAAATCACAAGCGTTTAAGGAACAAAATAATGTTTTTATTAAAAATTGTACCCATAGCACCTCTCTGTCTTCCTACAAGTTGTTTATTTTTTTCTTTTTCTTTTTCTTTTTTTTAAATGAGATCTGGTTTTCCGCACAATTTCAGAAAATGCTGTAGGGAATGCTTCAGGGCTGACCTGAGGGCACCCGAAACCAGAAGGTGATGTGGGAAGGAGACGTGTCCCAGCGGGCGGGCTCAGCTCATGAGTTTCCACGTTGTCCTCACCTTCCAGACTGGATCCATGCTACCGGGACGCTGGCCCATGGGGAGCCACACTTAGGTACGCAGACGGGTTGCTCGTCAGGAGAATAGCTACACTGTGTGCCAAGAATGTGTAAGAAATAAAAACCATGCTACGAACCGTTAGGCAAACACCATGCTTCAGCCCAGTCACAGTCAGATACAAGCACAGCCTCCGAAGACCGGTACAGAGTGAGCCACCTCCCGGGGCTGTGGAGGCTTGTTCCGTGTGTGGCTGTCTGGGCCCCCTCTCCCTAGGGCCCCTTGTTTTTCTGCTGCAGCACTGAGTGAAGTGTGCATTGTAAAAGCAGGCGGGGAGAGAGGCTGAAGGGGAGGCTGGGAGAGGGGCTTGGGCTGGACCGATTCAATCAGAAGGTGGCCGCGCAGGAGGCTGAGGGGACGTGGCCTGGCAGTTCTCTCTGCTCACCTGCCTGGAATCTCTGCCCTGGCGCCCCAGGAGGAGGGAGCCCTGCACACCCATCCCTGCGGCTCAGATGGAGCCTCCTGGTGGCTCCGTGACCGCATCCTCGCAGGGCAGGGCCAACACAATCTGAAATGAGCCACGTGGGGTTGGATGGGGAGACTCAGCCACTGCCGTCATGAGGCATCCGCAAGGTGCGACTTTCAGCACAGTCGGAGAGAGCGGGAGCACATTCCGCCCAGCCTGGCGCACACACATTTTGCTTGTCCTCTTTTCAAAACCGAGATTGAAATCCAATCTCCATCTTCCAAGGCTGTGGCTTTCTTTTCCTTCCCTGAAGATGAGGAGTTAGGAATTGATGCTTCTCAAATCCCGTATTGCTCTGGGAGGCTGAAATCTACCTGGAGACACCCAGCTCTGTTCCTTTGCGCAGCTGGTTCTCATGGGACAGAGTCCCTCCGAGTGACAGGTGTTGTCACTGTCCCAGGCACAGTCCAGCAGCAGCCAGGAGGCCGGCGTGGCCTCGGACAGGCCGCTCCGTATAGATCAAGATTTACTAAGAGTGGAGGGACACAGAAAACACGAGCTTGAAACAAAAGTGTCATGATGTTGTATCAAAAACCCAAGAGCAAAAAACACATCTCGAATCTGCTCATCCTCAACCTAAGACGTGTCAACACTCTCCCTGGTGTGTAAAGCCACGTCCTTATGGCTGCAGAGAGCAGTCAGAGCGCACAGAAGGCAGCGCTGGCCATGGCCTCCATTTATCGCTTCTCTTCCGAGAAATTCCAGTGCTCGCATCCTGGCTTCCTGCCCACTCTGTTCTCTCCGGGGCCAAGAGGGAGGCAGCTCTGTCCATGGTGGCGAGTCTTGTCCAGGGAACTGTGGGCTGTGATTCTCATGCAGAAGTGGCTTTGGGCAGAGCATCTAGGATTTTTGGTTTAGAGTATTTACCCCTCCACTCAGCAAAAGGAGGAGAAAAGGAAGAAGGAATGGAGGAGAAAGGGAGGGAGGAAGGAAAGGAGGGAGAAAAGAAAGGAAAGAAGGAAGGAAGGAAGGGAGGCAGGGAGGGAGGAAAGAAAGGAAAGAAGGAAGGGAGGGAGGGAGGAAAGAAAGGAAAGAAGGAAGGGAGGGAGGGAGGAAAGAAAGGAAAGAAGGAAGGAAGGGAGGGAGGCAGAAAAGAAGGAAGAAAGGGAGGGAGGGAGGGAGGGAAGGAGTGGGGAAAGAAGAGAGGGTGGGAGGAAGGAAGGAAAGGAGGGATAAAGGGAAGGAAGGTGGGGAAGGAAGGGAGGAGAGAAAAAAGGAAACTTTCCATACCCTCTAATTTTGGAAAGACTGAAGAGGGGTTTTCCAGCCTATACAAAACTCTCCTTGGTCTCCTGGGGCCATACTCAACAATGCTGACAGCAGAGCATCCAGGCAGTATCCACACCCTCTGCCCATGGAGGTGCACAAAACATCTAGGCAAGCAGGGGCCACACTTTCTGCATGTGGCCAGGAGACTGGCCCCCGGGTGGCACTGGCCAGATACTGCTCAGCTGTCCCCTACCCTCAGGTCACTGGGGGAACAGCACCTGCCCGTTCACCCTGCACGTGGGACACTGACAAGGTGGTCTTGAGTCTTGTGTGTGTCATGCTTCTGCTGGTGAGGGGGCACTTGGGGCACTTACAGGGAAGGACCCAGGACACACACACCAGTGGGCACCAGCAGTGCTCCCGTTCCATCCGGACCCGGGACCTGGGCTGAGGGGTGGACCCCGGCAGCCCAGCCATCTGTTGCAAAGATGACGTGAGGGGCTGGAGGCACGGTCATCTCTGGGCTGTTAAGTTTTCCAAAGTAGTTCATACTCTTTTCATCTAGCTGAAAATTTTAAACCAAACAATGACAATTTTAAAGAAAAAATGAAATGTTTCCAGAAAACCTGTTAAGGCTAAAAGCTGGCCTTGGACTGGGAGAGGGGGCAGCAGCAGTGCCAGCGGTGGAGAAGCGGTGGCCGCCGTGGGTGGCCGGCAGAAGCCGGGACAGAGGGAGGGGACGGCCTGGTGTGCACGAGGCAAGTCGGGAGCGTGTGTTCTCAGAGCTGTTTTGCTTTATTTGCAGAGACTGTTGCTTTTCATCTTTTCCCATGTACAAAGCTGAACAATTAATAAAAAGGCACCTGGAGACAGCAAAGACGCATTTCATGTGACATAGTTTAAAAAAAGATAAAAAGATTTAAAAAATACTCTGGTTAACAATGCACGCTTCCTACTTAACAAGCAATTCTGGGGACGCCGTCCCATGTCCTCGTGTCCCGCAGAGTTGGCCGTGTGCTGTGTTCAGGAAGGAGAGGCTGGCGTGGTGGCTTCCAGCCTTAAGAGGCCTCCCTAGTCAGGTGGGAAGGAAGGGGGAAAGACAGGCAGAAAAGCCTCAGGACCGCATCACTGCAGTAAGGCTGACGCTGACCCCTTTCCAGCCGTCGCTGACGCTGATCCCTTTCCAGCCGTCAGGAACCCGAAAGCCGACTCCTTGCTTAGAAATTGCCAAGTGAGAACATTTCAGAAACAGATGAAGTTGGGACAAAACGCGCTGAGCCCAGGGAGAAACGTTTGCTCTTCAAACCCCAGGAGGGAGCTGTGAGCCGAGGATGTCCTGCGTTGAGAAGGGTGTGAGCCGCTGGTTCTCTGGAAGAGGAGGTAGAAAGAGACAGGGGCCAGCCGGGGCAGCTCTGAGATCTCACCTGACCCTCCATTCCCTCTCCCCGCTTGAGCCTTCCTAGTTGGTCTTGAAGACGGAGAAACCCAGGGCTAGGGAGGTCTGAGGTCCTCCCAGGCCCCGGCGGTGCCAAGCCATTGTACCAGTGAAATACACCTTCTCTTAAAAAGAAAAGAAAAAGAAAGAAACCTGCTTCCTGCAGCGATGTTACAAAAAGCCGTTTAAAAAAACCTTCCTAATTGAAATCTAATGTCCACAAGTAGGTAAAATCATCACTTATCAGATTTTTTTTTTTAAACAAAAACTTCAGCTCAGTTACTGGAGTTGATTGTCTTAACAAAAATAGACTCCGGAAAGTTCGCCTCCGTTCCGCCCTGAGGGAGGTGCGGCGCTTTGCTCACACGAAGGAGGAGAAGCCGGTGAGCGGAGTCCGCGCGCCGGGGCCGGCGGGGGTGTAGACGCCGCCCGCGCTCTGCGTGGTGATGACCGGGTGCAGCTGCGCGCCCGCCTCGGCGCCCGCCACCGCCTCGTACCTGTGCGGCGCAGGTGCACGGCCCTGGGCCCGGCGCTTCCACGAGTTGTAGTAGGTGGGGTCGCTCATGTAGTGGTTCACGAACGAGTGCTTGGGCAGCGCGTCCTCATAGTCGGAGTCGGTGGCCTGCGGGGCAGGGGAGAGGCGGTGTGAGTGCAGGGCAGGGCGCAGGGCCCGGAGCGTGCTGTGCGGGAGGCCTGGCGTGGGGGCAACTCCCCGGGGGGCCGTGTCGTGGTCTCCAGCCCGCTCCCCACCCCCGCCCAATGCCAGGCCCTCCCACCCTCCACACAGGAGAGCAGGCAGCCCCCCAGGTCCGCCTCTCTGATCCAGGTGTGACTATCTCAGCTGCATCCAGCCCCTCACTCTGCACCAGGTCTCCGAGAAGAGCTCGGCCTCCACCCAGGAGAGGTCTACACAGCCTCCCTCACTCAGGAGAGGTCTACACAGCCTCCCTCACTCAGGAGAGGTCTACACGGCCTCCCTCACTCAGGAGAGGTCTACGCGGCCTCCCTCACTCAGGAGAGGTCTACGCGGCCTCCCTCACTCAGGAGAGGTCTACGCGGCCTCCCTCGCCCCAGGAGAGATCTACACGGCCTCCATCACTCAGGAGAGGTCTACATGGGCTTCCCACCCCAGCAAAGGTCTGGGTGGCCTCCCTCACTCAGCAGAGGTCTACACAGCCTCCCCACACAGCCCCCAGGGGACTCTGCCTGCCCTTATAAGGCAGAACATAGAAGAGCCCCAGGGGTGGGGGAAGGTCTGGGTCTTTGTCTTGCCTGAGACTAAGACGTGGGCTGCTACAGACCAAAACAAAAGGATTCTGGAGGTGACCAGGTAGAGGGGAGTGGGTGGGAAAGGTGATGAGGTAGAGGG